TTGCAAGCAATTAGGAGGGTAACCATCACATAAAAAAGAACACAACAGAGCACAGTATAGACACACAGACACACTTACCCACAGACAAGGGGAGAGCATCATTTGTGTGCTCCTCAGCATCGCATCCGGCATGGAGAAAGCTTCACCCGCAAATGGCTCGCAGCGTAAATTACGCGTATAAAATGAACATTAGATTCATATTTTAATATGTGGCGCGACACACTCACACACACACACACACACAAACACACTCATTCGCACTCGCATAAGAGAACATAAATAAAAGCAAGGAATTCCACACTGAAACTCCACTTCACTCCATTCTCTCTCGGAGAATGCCAACGCCAGAGACGCTTGGAAAAAAAAAGGTTATGCCAAATAACCTGCAGCTATGACAAACACAAATACAAAGAGCACACGCACACAGCTGAATGTCCTTGTGTATCTGTGCGTCTGTGTGCGTACTTATTTCCATTACAAATGAGCTTATTATACGCTCAAGTCACAAAGTCATTGCGACTTAAAGGGATTTGCATGTGATTAGCAGCCCCAAATGTAAGCAAAAGTCTTGTGCCAAAAGACAAAAACAACAAGTGAGGCAATAGCATGGCAGGACTTACAGACGTAGGGGGGAAATCGACTCGATTGATACCACTTCATTATACAAATGATTTTCCGTGAATAGGTTATTGGGAGAAATTTCGTTATACTCAAGAAAATTCTTCAAAGATTTTAAACGAATATTTTATATTTAAATGGCAGTGATTTTTACATTCCATTGTACAGATAAGCAGCGCTGGCGGGACGGCAGCTCTGTAAACAGTTCAGTTTAACAGCATGCTTCCGCTTCCCGCTAACAGTCTGAAGCGCTCCTGTCTAAAGTGCCGTTGGCGCTCTCCGACAGCGCTCTGAGAGTGGGCTCGCGCTTTCTGTCACGATCGTATCGTCTCGTGAGCGCTGCCTAAGCTTTAAAGCTAGACGAAAGTGAAGCTCGGATTTTAAGTCTTGTTTCCACCCCCGCTCTGTCACAGCCGAGACAGTGCATTCGATAATGCATTCACCTCCGTTGACTACTTCTTTGTCGTAAGCGCCGCCAAGCTGAGATAACATCCATCTCAGTTTATATAATTTATAAAATTGGCTTCTCTTTTATTATATTTCTACATATTATTATGTCTCAACACACTCCACACAATCATCAGTTATACCCTACATGTTTCACAAGTGGCGGATGCTAAGAATAAAAGCAAAAAGACGATTTGTAAGTACTTCCCCAAGCAACCAAAAACACGTGCGTACGAGGGGTGTGTGTGTGTATACTTTTGTGAGTGTATGTAAGTATTTATTGTTGTACTTGGGAGAGGGGAGTGGGGAAATTGCCGACAGCCGAAAAGCGGGCCGCACAAAAACAATGAACACATCATAATCATAATTCTTGTAGGCTAATTCCGGGAGGGCAAATGAGTGACTGGCGAAATGTGATGCATAATTTAGTTAACGTCGCTCTTTATTCACAAATGCATTAAATGGGGAAACGGACGGCTCCAGTTGATATCTGGCCTTGGCCCAAGAATTACGCGAATGTCTATTCGAATCGATAGACTCGACACTGACAGCAGATGCAGAGGAGGGTAACTGGCACCAAGGATGAGACTGAGGCTAAGGCTGAGTCTGAAGCAGGGTCTTTGCGCTTCGATTACCTTGCATAATGGGCGACGTCTTCTTTTGCATAAGCGCTGAAAATTTGCACAAAAGAAGAGGGCAAATAGAAAAGCACTTTTTCGTTTTAGCAGCAAATGCTGAAGTGGCAGTGGGAGATGCAGGCAACGTGGCCTAGAAGTAGAAGCAAAAGCAAAAGCAAAGGGAGACTGTCAAGGCTATGTAATTGAAGCTGACTTGAAAGTGTTGCCTAAGCCAGAGCAGGGGCAGAGGCTAAAATATCGATTTTCTGACTAGCGATAAGCCTTTGCCTGAATAAAATATGCATTTCTTTTCTCCTTTCTTTCGGCCATGTTTTCAATCAAATTTGGCATTACTCTGCGAGACTTAAGCTACAAAAATGCTTTCCCAATTAGATATTCCATGAGTATGTACGTGAATGCCGTTATGTGTTTATTTACCGAATTAGAATGACGTCAAATGGAAGCAATGACTTGCAGTCGCCAGTCCCGCAGCAGAAAAACAAGTCAAGAGTGAAAGACCAAGCAGGGAAGTGCAGGGAAACGAATTATGCCAGACAGTGCATGAATGGCCCGAAAGAGCGACTGAATCTGGGGGGCCATTGAAATAGAACTTGGCACAAAAGGCTAGACCTGAAGTTTAGCTAAAAGCCAGATAAATAAATAAACACACATTGCCAGTACGAATGCGAATCCCAAATAGAAGGTTTGGAAAATTGTTGTGCTTTTGAATACATTCAAAATAAATCGCAAAGCAAATAAAGCAAAAGGTGAACGGAGAACGGCAAACAGACAACAATGAGCAATGATGATGCAGAAGTACACGCATAAGTGGAGACCTCCCAGTGCCAGGAACTCCATTTCCGAGCCCTTGGCCAAGTTTAAGCTGCAGACGAGAGACGAGAGCCGAGAATTGTTTGCTTTAAAACTGGCTAAAAATATAAGAAAACACAGAGACATGCAGAGAGGCAGAAGGAGCTAAAATTAAGGATGTATGGCACGTGTGCTGAGCCCGCTGGCTATTAAGCGACACTCCAGAGAGAAAACGAGAGAGCGAGACTGAGGCAGGGGCGTCGAGTGGGTTTAAGATTGAGAGAGCGGGTAAACTGTGCATAAAACTCAATCAAGTCGAGACAACAGCCAGCACAGAACAGCACACATCAATGGCCTTTACATACCCGAGTGCTCCTCCTGTCGTCCTGTTTGCCTGCGCCATTGTCCCTGCAGGCATGTCAGGCTCTAATGCAAACCCTGACACGCTCTCAGAACAGCCGTCTACCCCACTCTCCTCCCTCACAGCTGCACCACACGGCTGCTTATAAAACGAGAAATCACCGTGTAAGACAATGGCCCGCCCAGCCAGAATCCATTGTTTTGGCAACAAGACAACACACAAAAAAGGAGCATGTCTCCATTCCCCCTTTCTCTCTTGGCAAGTCCTCGTTTGCCCTTTTGCTGCTTGGGGCATTTGAGAAAGGCACCGGGAGAAAGTCAAATAACTTAAGCAAATGTGCAAAAGGCCCAAGCAGTGTGGCGGTCCCGGTCGGGCCAACTGTCGGAGAGCATGGCCCCAGGCAAGTGTCATCCCACGTTGCAAGCTGACATCTGGGAATGGGACTGAGAGTGGAACCCGTACTGGCCTTTACTCACTTACTTTATTCAGAAATCATTACGGCTTTATGTTGGCTATCAGCAGATGGACGTGGATTCCCCGCTCGATCATGGACACAGAAATGTTCGCTCGGGTTTTGTGATGTTGAATGCAATTTAAAGCAAAATTAAACTAGATTCTCTGTTGTCAAACCAAAGCCAGCTGCTTGCCCCTCACTGCACATTCCTCATGTTCTCTGTAAATTGGAACAGAATAGAAGAAAACCTACGGTGACCATGAAACTGCAAGCGAATTGTCTGGATGAGGTGGCTGAGGACAATGGAGCTCCTCTGGGGAAGAGGAGAGCATGTCTAAGCCAATGCCAACCAGTGGGATATGCGAGTCTCCTGCTGGCAAGTCTTTTTTTTACACACACACTAAGCGCTTTTTAATTAGTTTTCCCAAGTACAGTCAGTCGGAGTGCTGCAAAATCAGAGGCAAGGATCTACCAATAAATTCCGGAACATTGCTCGGCCTGAACACTAGAAAATCTCGAATCTCGAAGGCTTTAATTTAAAGCATTTGCTTTGCTGCTTTTTCAGTTGGAGACGAGCAGCTGTGTGCCCTTGCAAATCATTTCAACAAATGCTGGCCACGTGATTTCCGCCCGCACGTGCTGCACTTTCTCCGCCTACTGGAGGACGGCAACATCTGCCGAAGCAGAAATTATTGGCAAAGCGTTTAAGCGCAATAAATATGTTTGATTGCTGGCTGGCAAGTTGCCCAAACGATGTATAAAATGATAAATACATTTGCAGAGAACGTTGCCTTAAAGAGCCTTCTGCGAATCCTGGCAGCCAGCGAGCGAGCGAGAGAATTTGTAATTCATTTAAAAGCTCGCAACTAAATCGCTGCGAGCTGTTTGCTCTGCAATTTTTAATAGTCGCTGATTGTACGTACAATACACTGAGCTAAAAGTATGACTGAGAAGAGATAAACTGGATCTATCGAAGAAGAATCCACTTCAAGAGCAAATTAATTCTTTTGGAAATCATTGAACAAAATTCTCTAAGAAAGAATGGTTCCAATTTATTTACCAATGCATTTTTTTGCTCAGTGATTCTGTTCGTAAAGCTCCATGGATGGTATCCGGATTCTAGCAGAATTATCCACACAGCCAGCGGGTTGAAGCCACGGCCACGGCACTCGGACATTGTTCGAGTAAATCAAACGAAAGCGCAACTAAAACGCTTTTGTGCACAATTCGATTATTTACGTTTATTCCTTTTAAATGATATTTCCTCTCTCCGTCTGGCCAACGGGTTGGCAGGAGAAACCAATTATTGGAGGATAAAACCGGAACATGAGCAGCAGGAGCAGGACAGCCGCAGGGCAAGCAATTTGTAAGGAAATGAAGCGTAAGCAGAGGGCAAATGCAGAAAAAATACGCTGCAGCTGAAAGGCAAAGCCGTAGCGGCAAACAAAAGATCAAATTAATGGCATCACAGCATCGAGACATCGCAAACACAGCTGCAGCCAGGGGGAGGAGTGGGTTGGAGTGGGTTGAGTGGTGAGGCTAATGAGGGGGCAAAGGGAAAGGTGTTGGCTCCAAGCGTCTTGAAATGAGCAAACATTTGAACAGATGCATAGGAAATGTTCTGCATTTCACCGATGACGATGGGGGGAGGGCGAGAGAGTGAGTATAAAACCCAACGGGTGGCCCAACGAAAGCATCACAACCACTTCCGGAGTTCCACAAGCAACTGTAATTTGTAGACTCTCAGCATGGCAGCCAAGTACGCCCTGATCTTTGCCCTTGCGGCACTCTGCTGCCTCGTGGCCACCACAGAGGCGGCGGCACAACGCAGCCGCGTGCTCAGCACTCGTCGCGGCTCCGAGCTGGTCGAGCGGCAGTCCGACAAGGAGGAAACCGAGGTGGCTGCACAGCAGCAGGAGGTGCAGGAGCAGCAGCAGCCAGAGGAGGAGGAGGGCAGCGAGCTGGCTGGCCGCAGCGAGGACGATGTCGCCCAAGCTGAGAACAAGCTGGAGACCGACCAGGAAAAGGACACCATTGTGCGCCCCAACAAGGATGATGCCCGTGCCCGCCGCACTACTCGTCGCGGACGTCGCGGTGGTCGCAGGGGCGGTGGTCGTCGCGGAGGTCGTCGTCGTGGTGGACGCAGGCGTGCCGGACGTCGCTCTGGCAAACGCGTTGGACGCAGGCGCGGTGGTCGTCGTGGTGCTCGTGCCGGTGCTCGTCGCCGCTCCGTGAAGAGGCGCTCCGGCAAGACCAACCGCGGTTAAGCACACACACTCCGACACCATCTGGACTTTGGAATTTCCATTAAATAACATGCCAATTATGACGAAGAATAAACTATAAATATTTAACTAAAGTTCCCCGAACCACTTAAGGCGCAACGTTACCCAAAAATTTCTTTAAAGACGTTCCCGAACAACTGCCAAAAACGGAAGAAGGAACAGAAGGAGAAGGAAACGTCAGGCCTGCTTCACATTCTTTGACTCGGTGCCTGCCTCGCCGCTACAATGGTGCAGGCGACGTGACATGTGACAAGAAGTTGCCGCGGCAGCATTGCTGCAACAGCTGCTGCTGCTGCTGCTGCTGCCTCCTCCTTTTGGACTGTGCCACAGCAGCTACGAAAATGATGAATGTGCCAATGTTTCCTGGGTTCTCGGGATCTCGGGGTGTGACTGGGGCTGTTGCCACATCCTCGGGGCCTGTGCCGGCTACACTCTGCCAAAGTTCTTGGCCAGGCAAAAGTTTTGCGGCACTCAAGTTTTGTGACCATTTTCAATTTTTAGACAGCATTTGGTGCAACATGCGGCCATACAGTCGAAACTGGCAACAGCTCCGTGTGCGGCAGAGTCGAAGAGTTTGTTGTAGTGTAGAGCGGTGCTAAATGTTAAATGAGTTTGTCAGGCGGCACACATTAAGCCGCAAATAGTTTGTGGCCTGCAGGAAATTAAATCCATGCTGCATGAGGCAGCAGCTCCACGTCACTCACACGATGCATTTCGATATGAATTTTCCATTGTGCAAACGAACGAAGGATCAGGGCTCGACGGGGGAAACCCAATCATAATGAGCTTTGGTGTGAATTCATTGGATCATTGCAGTGTGCAGTGAGAGTTTTCCTATTAATTTCCTATTCATCTGAAACATGTGTCTGCATCCAGAGTTGGGCACAGAACTCTGCCCAGCCCTGCCCTGCCCTGAGCTTTGTCTGCGTTTATTCAACAAAACAATAGACGGCCATTGTTTGGCTTTTAGCAGCAACAAAAGCCGAAAGAGCCAAACAATTTAGATAGGACAATAAAGCCAAAAGGAAATTAAATTGGCTGCTTCAGCTTACACAATTTATCTGGCCAAGAAGAAGGCTGGTCGGAATTCAATTAAACTATCATCATATGTGTTGGGGCATAATTATTACACTTTTATTTATAGTCTGCCTATAGCACTTCAAATTGGAGCAGTAGAAGTGTTTAGCGTGAAATTCTATTTCAAAGAATTATGGAAAAACATTCAATAACTGGCCTGCCCGATTGACTTTCTTGTTGCAAAATATAAATCTGTTATTCAGCAACATTTAAAACGCCAGCAAGAAAAACCTCAAAGTCTTCGAAAGCCCATGCAGTTTCTTTTTGTTGTTTTTGTTTTGTATTTTCTGGCAGAACAAATATTCGTTTAAGAGAAGGAAGAAGGAAAGAATATTGTGGAAAAATCACATGACGATTTTCAATTGAGCGGCGGAAATGTAACGGAAATAAATTTACATAAATACAATATGCTGCGTGCTCGTTGGCGCCATTTTATTTGCAGAACACATGAACGTGTGTGTGTGTGTGTGTGTCTGTGTGTGTGTGTGTATGGACAGGGCAGGGAAGGGAAGAGTGTGGAGCATATTTGCACAAAAGTGGAAGTGCGTATTGATTTGTAGCATATGCAGCAGCATTGGGAAATGTTTTTTCCACTCACTTTGATTCAGGCATACAGAAATGTGAATTTAAAATGTTCGTTTTGGCCTGTGTCTTGCCTTCGTGCCTTCGTTTGCCCACTTTGCTTAATGCTGGCAAATATTTTGCAGCATTTCGTGACCAAATTTCGGGCTGCACTATCTCGCATGTAAATAGTGCACACACCTGCCAAACAAGATGTGTGTGGGGGGAGCGAGGCTTAACTGACACTCGTTGGGAGTTTTCGCATGCGGCCTGCATTATTTGCATATGATAAAAAGATGAGGGAACACAGCCAGCACCCAGCTCAAGCAAGCGGCTTCGCTCTCAGTTCTTAGCAGCAAAAATGTCCGAAATGTATTTCCTATAAAAGCCAAGCAAAAACACACCAACCGACGCCGACCCCCCCACAGCGAGAGGGCGAACGAGCGACGATGGCGATGGCGATGCTGATAAAGACAACACATACTGGAAAAGGGAACGGGAGGGAGTAAGGGCAACGAGGGAACGTGGCCGCTATCGCCATTTTGTAGCATTTGCAACTTATATGCATATGTGGTCGAACAGCAGAAGAAAACGAACAAACCAAAGGCGAGGACCTACACCAACACCAACACCAAGACCAACGTGCGCTGAAATTACATTTTCCTTGCACGAATAGTCCCCCACAAACGACTGCACGAAAATGCGACAAGATTTTTTTCTTACAACGTTCTGTTTTTCCTCGAACAGGAATGGAATGGAATGGCGTGCAGGCGTTGGTAGACTATTTGCACCGGTTTCTTTTCAGCATCGACAAGGCACAGTGGGCCACAAAGCCACATAATGCTGAGAAATAAAGGTAATAATTTTATATTTATAAAAAATTACATTTAAATTTACTTTACATAAAATTATGACAGCTTTGAGACCTCATCATTTTAGGGAACTATTTTAATGTCAACCCAACTTTTGGCACCCACTGTGCATGGTACAGAAATCGGTTTTAGTGCTCGTACGTTTGGCATATTTTACAAATGCATTTGACATAAATTTTAGAGGGGCTTAAGTGCCGAAGTCCCCGAATCAGTGGCCCACTGCCGCACGATAAGAAGATGCCTGCGACGGCAGCGCCAAGCGCCTTAAATCTTTGTTGGGTGCGGACATAAAATAGAGCAATTACAGCAAAGATCATAAATTATGCAAAGCCCGGCAACAAGTGTGCGATAAGCCCCAGGAACAGGGGCAGGCTGTAAAGTGAACAACGAGTTGGAGTTGGAGTCGGAGTTAGAGCTGGAACTTGAGGCATGGGTCTTGTCTGACAATCATCACTCACCGAGCAGAGCTTGAGACACATCGCGAATTGAAATAATACGTCGAGTGTCTTACACTACGGCATCCGTGTGCCGCATTTCTACATGTGCTAAGCGAGCTCGACACTCTAAGTACTCGTACTGTGAGTGCACATCGTTTATCAACTGTCAGTGAAAATGCATTTCAACAATGCCCCAGGCAGTCCCTGACAGTGGAAGTGACATGCAAATCGGGTTTTCTTACTGTCAAGGCATTAAGTGTGTGCGATTTTCTTTCAACAAGACAATTTAACAGAAAAATTCATGCTCGACAGCTTGCCAATGCGTGTGCGGCTCACGCTCGGAAGGAACTCGAATGGAAACGGGAATGGAGAGCAACGCAATTGCAGTTATGAATAAATACAGATAGGAGCTTGATGCTTCCTCTTTGCACTTTGAACGCTTTCAGGTTTTGCCGCATAAGTGGCAGCAACACCCACACAGTGGCCACACTGCCACTGCCTTCTAGGCCCCTCTTTGTCCACACTTTGGCGTGTGGTGTGGTGGGGGCCGTGCTATCGCTGCATTTGCATGCCTGCACAAGCCATAAATGTCAATTGGTATGGCAAACGGAAGAGCCCCTTCAACCCGAGCACGGCACACATCTGGTGTCATAATTATGGATGGATATCGCTTCACTTAAACGATGAGCAGATTGTCCGTCCTTATCCACTTAAAGAAATACCCATTGAGGTGGCAATAAAAACCAGCTGGAAGGGGAACCATTTGAGCAATTTGATTTGGAAAAAGCGGCATTGAAATGTTTCATCTTTGGGTTAGAAAATCTTCTTCTATGGCACACGATTGCCTCTAAAAGGTGCTGCGGAAATCTCCTGTAGAAACCTACGATTTTTGGGCCTCACTCCATGAAATGTAAATTTATGTGCTCCTTCGACTCTGGCTGGGACAGGGACAGGGCCATGAACTGATTTAAATGCTAAAGTGAACGATTATCATTTCGATTTTGTATAAATAGCACATGAATTATTCATTGGCACTTACTTATGCGCCATCAAAGTGACTTAGGGATGGCTGCCACAGCCGCTTTCCCTCGCCCGGCGATATGACAATATGATGGAGAGCTGGCTTATTGGTTCTAAGTTGCAGATACAATATTTGTCGCCGACATTAACACCAGTAGTCGACTGGTGGGTCGTTTAGATGTTATAGTTTGATAAAGTCAACTTTTCGAATTAAAGTAATTTCCTGTTGTGCAACTTTTGTTGCCACATACTCGTCCTACTCGTGGCAAAGTTGTTACAATTGTTATTTCACAGACATACACAGGGGGTGGGTGGTGCTGGGAGTGGAGTTGGGAGTTTCCATCCTGGAGAATGGCAGATAAACACAAATTACTGTCGATTTCATTTCACGCCTTGAGCATGAAAACTTTACTCTGCCGCGTAGCACTTCACGCAAAATCTGCGCCATTGTCAGCGACATCTCTACACCAATCGGAGTCGGAGTCGGAGTCGGAGTCGCTCCTGGAGTCTGCGGTGGTCCTTGTACTGAAATTCGATAAGGCGACAGACGCGACACAGCGCTAAAACCTGGAAGCAATTTGTGCATAAACGTTCACGACGATAAAATTTGCAGTTTTGTTTATTTTTCCGACAATCGTCTGGGGGGAGGGGGGGAAAGCTTTTTGAAATTTTGTTTTTGGTTTGTTCAAGGATGTCTCTTTTTTTGTGTGTGCGAGTCGGAATTAGTTTTTGATTTGTTTCCGTCTGCGAAGCGATATTTAAAGCTGCTGTTATGAGATTTCTTTAATTTGTCGAATCATTACCGTTTGCCACCAACAGCTAATTGATTTGTATCAGATTTAAAGATAAACTGCGGCACATAAGAGCAGCCCCCTGCCCCTTTAATCACTTGCCTTTTATGCCGAAACAATCATTAGTCCAAGCTGTGCGCTGACCACACCCTGTGTGCTGGCATCGACAAGCCAATATCCAATTTCCAATACACGAGCATAATGATAAATCAATAAAGAAGTACAAAAACAAATGCTACATTGTAGCGTAGATTTCTGGTTGGCTTTTGCCCACGTGCAGGCAAACGTAAATTAAATTCGAATCGAGGACTACAAT